AAAATTAAGCAAAAAATCAATCAACCAGATCCGGAATTTGGTCATTATTCGTGAGATCATTAAGAGGTGATGATCCGATTGGTACTGATACATTCACAGCTTGTAATGTACTAACATTATCAACGCAATTGTTTTTGTCAACGATTGTCATAGATTCTGATGGTGTCGAATCCATTAATTGCGAATCATTTGTTGTTAATAAATCGGAATTATTATTTGATGATTGCTGTTTATAATTATCGTTCGATAATAAATATTCATTACTATCGTTGCCATTGAGATTTGCATCGGTTGCATCACCATTCTCCAAATCTTTATCGATATCCGAAGAACTATTATCCCATTTAATCGGATAAGTGGTCACGTGGATATCATCCAAACAAACTGTTCGTTGCAACTGATCTAATATCGGCACTGCCGGAGGGTTCTCCTTCATTTCTGGATCGGTGTATTCCAAAGTGACGAACCATCCGATCTTGATGAAGACTTGCTCTCGATAACTACATCGTAACAACAGCACTGTCACTCCAACTATGTCGTCTTCTGGGATCTTCGACGGATCTGGACCATCTGCCTTCAATTTCGGTCATTAGAATATAATAAAAACATCATGACAATTAATAAAATTAACAAATAAAGTACCTCAAAAATGAATTTATGTCTCCCTTCTACAACAGGTCCCACCAAAGCCGAATCTAGAACTTGATCGTACTTCTCGGATTCTGCAGATCCAACATAGACCAATTCCCAATCGAGATCTAAATCAATACATCAAATTAGATGATCACTTCACTGACCCATTAAAATTATAGTTTATATCAATACATCTGCAAGAATAGTCAGATCTGCAGTAAATAAATCATTGGTCATGAAGTCAGTTCCGGATGCGGCTGATCATTATACGGAATCCTTTCATGATTATCCCTTGGTATGGGATTTGCTTAATTGATTTATGAGTGATTTGTTTTGTTTGGTCCATTTACACCTTAAGTCACTGGAGTTTGGTTTGCTGGTGAGATGAATGCGATATAGACAAGAAGATTACCATCCGGAAGAGGTTCGAATGCTTCGAAAGTAATTTCTAGTTTAAATGGGTCGTTCAATTTGGCCGGATTATCGAGCACATTAACACTGCACACATTCACTCGTGATCCCATTACGATGAATTTCTGTAAATACTTATTCTATTGTCTATTCACCAGTTTAATTCAAGGAAGGCGAATAAAACTGTGAGAGAGACACGACATCATATGACGGCGTAACACATATAATTGGTGCCGTATTTTCCGTACTATATGGCGCACTGGATTATAAGGCGCATCGTCAATGAATGGTCTATGTTAGAACTTTTGTCTTGTATAAATCGCACCGGACTATAGGGCGCATTAAGGGAAACACCACAGGTCAGTAACCGTCGAGGTCAGTAACTAGTCAGTAATCCGAATTAATCCACATATAAGGCGCTCCGTTTTATAGGCGCACCGTCGTTTTTGAGCAAATTAAAAGCTTTTAAGTGCGCCTTACAGTCCGGAAAATACGCTATTCTAGTTTCAAATTATGGAAACAGTCTTAACTCAGCAATTAAGTAATTATATCGAAAGGAGCTCTTCAATGCTTTAAGCGGGAAAAAATAGTGCTGAGCCAAATTTCTAATCGCTGATGACATAAGTTGCCAAATGTATGTGTGTGATTGAGACAGGTGACTTGGATCTACGAAAATATTTCGTAAGACAAATCCTTGACAATTGATAAAACATGCGATATGGATGATCCAATCGTACATTTTTCAATTTTTTCAATTCTATTCTAAAAACTTCAATTGGAATTATTTATTGAACATTTTTATACTCCACGTTAAATAGGAGCTGTTAGATTTGCATCTGTGAATGTTCAAAAGCCGGAAAATCAGGATAAACGCACGCATCTAAGAGCGTTGCGGTTTTTTAAATTTTTTGTCATTTTTGTCACTTCCAGCGGGGATGGAGGAATTTACTCTGTTGTGGAATTTACAAAATTCAATGACGTCGTCTCTTTTTGCGATTTATTTTGCTTTTTTTTTCGGTGATGCAGTTGATCCAATTTGTAAATATGGCACTTTTGCTGATAACGAGCGCCACTGCGCGTTAATGTGTTAGATTACCACTTTGCCCGATGCGTATCAATGCCATTTGAAGTCAAATCAGGAGTGAGCTTAAGCTTAGACTTACGCTTAGCCCAGTGATGAGGCTAAGAAACAGGCTTCGACACCTATATGTGAAGAATATGAGCACACGAGTATCTGTGATAACAGGCACGGTGGCGCCGTTATCAGCAAAGGTACCCACCTCAAATGTTATTGTAAAAATCGCTCAATGATTCGCATTCTTTATGAACACGTCGAAGTGATATCGCCAGCGATAAGCGTATAAAATGTTTGTTTAAATTTTAGCAGTGTTTCTTCGCAAAACTGACTTCCACACGCCAAAATTGGAGGTCATACTAGCAAAGAGGTTAATTTTGTCCGATATCCTTCTTCATTTTCATTTGTTCTCTGTTCATTTCATGCAGTCTGGGTCAGCATTGAGAATGCATTTGTGTGTGATGGAAAAAAATAAACTCAGTGCAAACTTTCAGCTTTCACCGCCAATATTGCCTTCAACAGTAATATCGCCAAGTGCTCCGAATCAATCTACTCGTCATCCAGATTATTCGCAGTCAGATCGAACACCAGATCAAAAACTATTTGGTGCGGCAGTATCAGGTGATTTAAGTGATGAATGCTTAGTTAATGGTCTATACATCAGCACCGAATCGAAACACACAACGGGTTCGTCTGTATCATCAGCCACATCTCTAGGCTTATTGCCATCCGATAATATCAATAATAATAACAATAGTAATAATAACTTAAATAATCCGAATACTCTATCACCAATCAACAAAAGTGCCACATTGGAGAGTACAGTCAGCAAAAGTAACTCGACTACCACCAAACCAACACAACAACATCATTCAAATACACCGAAAAAACACTCTGCTATACTACGACCGTTCTTGAGAAAAAAGACTAAGGTATGTATCGTTTCATTCACATAGTCACATCTTCATTCCTATTTGCAATCCGGATAAGCAATCTCAAATTCGGATAAAAACTAGATTGGGTAAAACTACAAGCTTAACCCAGAGTCCGGGTACATTTCTGGGAAGTGTTCTATTGTATTGATATCGGAAAGCAGATTTTTTTAACGAGGTGAATCTTTAGCGAAGTACGTCGCGAGGCGATAGCAGTGGTGTATTGTCATCATCAGGGAGTGTTGTCGTGTCGAAAGGTGACGATCAGCATAATCCAGTTGATACAAAAGACAGCGACAGTAAATTAGCATCGTCGAATAAATTGAATGAAGTAATGAAGAGAAGCGCATCACCTCTAACGCAACCCGAGGGAATAACGCTACCCAAAAACGATTTACGTCATTCATCCAACGCAATTCACTCACCCAATAATGTCAGTTCGTTAACCAGTCATTCTTCTTTTAATTATTTTGTTTATTTTGCGAATTATTACTCATCAAGTTTGCGCGAATTCAACGCAATATCGTTAACTGCGAGCGTTTGATGTCTTTCTTTCGGTTCACTTAATAATATGAAACGAATTGTTGTTCTGAATTAGCTATTGATATTGTTCGAAAGCAATTCCTGATTATTCACAGCGAAAAATTTATTCTCTTTTTGTTTTCAAAAATGAGATTAGAANTGAGATAACAGAAATCAAATCATCATTGTTATTATTATCATTCATTATTCGTTCCGTCTTGAAGTACGTTAAAAATATTCATTTATTGGACGATTTATGACTCTAAATTAGTACTGACTGTTCAATTGAATGAATTAACTCGTTGTATTCGACACATTCTTTGCGTTATTCAGTCAAGTTGGTCTTCTTATTTCGTGGTTGTTGATCTTCATTTTAATATACTTGTTGTGATGATCAGTGCCAGATGGTTAGTATCGTCAGTGAAGACGGCTAGATTTTTTCGAGTGTGCACATTAAAAAATCATTTGCGACACATGTGCTAGGCGAAGAGAGAAGTGTAAAAATATTTGTGCTTGAAAGAGCACTCACTAACCGTCGAACGTTGTCTTTTGCTATCTGTCTCTCTGGGTGCAGTATGATTTGGAGGGTGTTCTAAGGTGTGTGTGTGGAGAATAGAATTAGGATGATGATGTAAAGTGGAATGCTCATCGTTAGAAAAATCCGAAAACGTCAGGATAGCACGGAGACGGATGACGTATTGTGTGATTTTGAAGTGGTGCTGTAGAGCAGAGCAGAGTTGATTTTATCTTATCACTTTTATCGTAGCAATAGCGTTATCGAATGTCTTTATCTTGACTGTTCATTTACAAATGCATTCAGTTTTTTACATCTTTTGTTTCGTTTGTTTTATATATATTGCAGTTGTGTTGTCTCTGTTATGGTTTTGATGAATGCTGCTTGTAGGCATATTTTGTTTCATTTGTTAAATTGAATATTATAAATGTTGCGT